AGGATTACGCTCCATCAAACTATCTTGCCCAAGACTAGTACTACGGCTGTATATATTGTGTCACTACGATTCTAATGGGCTACGAGTCTCGCAATCGGGACGTTGACTGTGCTCACCAATAATATTTTGATATGATCGATTTTTTTTACAGATTATCAACCCTTTGTAAATTATTTAAAGTCATAATTCTTTTTTAGATATCAAGAATAGTTTATATCTCTTTACTTTTAGGATTTAGTAATACCAGTCTTACTAATTATTTTTTTTTTTGTAACGACTCGCGTTTTCTCTTACAAATTGAGGGTTAGTCCTTTCTTCCTGCTTTCCGTTAATACCTTAAGAGTTTGTGGAGAAGAGATGGATTAATACCATTCCCCAAATTATTTGAGCGTAATTGAATATTATGAACACAAGAGGAATTAGAACTCGTCTCTCCGATTATCAATTCCGTGCCATTGTTCATTACACCACCCACACATCCAGACATACAGCACCTGGTATTCCGAAATGGTCACCTATCTAAGTCTAGGTTGGACGTTGCTTAACTTTGGTGATCGTACGGAAACTGGTTTTTCCAAAGTGATATAACTGGACGTCTTTATAGAAGATTGTATTCTTTGTCGGATTCTTTATTTTCTTGTTTAATACTAAAACTGTCAGCGCCAATGGCATTTCATCTAAACAGATTTGGCAACAATCGATCTGTGTTCAACATCAAGTCGTTCATTCATATTTGTTTGATCTGAATGGACACCAATTAGTCTATATGCAATGGATGATAGGTGTTAGTACTAGTCTAAGCTGTTCATAGCTTGTCCAAACTGGTCAGATCTCGTCTACGCTAGTCATAGCTGTTAATAGCTTGTCCAAGTTGGTCAGACCTCGTCTAAGCTAGTCATAGCTATTCATAGCTTGTCCAATCTGGTCTGAGCTCGTCTAAGCTAGTCATAGCTATTCATGGCTTGTCCAATCTGGTCATAGCTCGTGTAAGCTAGTCATAGCTATTCATGGCTTGTCCAAGCTATTCATAGCTCGTCTAAGCTAGAAATAGATGTCCATAGCTTGTCCAAGCTGTTCATAGCTCGTCTAAGCTAGAAATAGCTGTTCATAGCTTGTCCAATCTGGTCAGAGCTCGTCTAATTTAGTCATAGCTGTTCATAGCTTGTCCAATCTGGTCAGAGCTCGTCTAAGCTAGACATATGTAGTCATAACTGGTCTTAACTAGTTGTAGCCTGTCCAAGCCGATTAGAGCTCCTCAAAGCCGGTCATAACTTTTCCAAGCCAGTCATAGCCGTGATACCACCTGTTCCAGGGGAGTATCCGTGTGCCAGTATGTATATTTATTTATAAGTATTTGGTATTTAGGAAGATTTATGAATTTTGATTTAATCTGGTTCATCAACTGTTGGTCTAATGTAAGCTCGCTTTGAACGTTTATTTATATTTGTGAAAACTGTTTCGTTGAGTTTCGTCGGGATATTGACGACTTTTATTTTAGTTCGGTTTGTTTGGGATCGATAAAATGGACAGTGATTAATTTTAGCAAGGTCTTACTTGATAAACACCACCTGGATATTTAAGAATTTAGGCTTGGTCTCGCTCGAAAACCTTTCCTGCAGGTTAAGCGTATTTAGCGTTGCCCATTTTCTTTTAGCTAAGCTTGATAACAATTTGTCGTGAGTCTGATTGATTGACTGACTATTTTTAACGGTTTGTCAACCCTTTGCAGCTTAACCCTTTGAGCCATGCATTCCTGAACAATTCTAACCCTTCTGCTTGAGCTCCTAAGTCAACATTCAAAAATAATTGGTATGCAATGTTTCACAGCAGATATAAAAATAGTGACAAGTATTTACCCATCATTCAACCGGTGGCTGAGTATAAATCTTTTTTTCTTTACCACTATTCAACTGGTGGTTGGGAATTACGCCATTTTTCTCTAACACCGGTAAAGCGATGGTCAGGGCTCAAATTGTTAAAGCCAGAACATATTTTTTGATTGTAAGATATTTTTTTGCGATAATAATGGTTTAGTGATACAGGTTTTACTAATTAACCCATAGTTGGGGGGATAATATGTGGATTCCTAACTTTCCCAACGGTATTTGTGCGTAAGTGAATATAACGAACCAAACAGGAATGGAACTCGGCTCTCCGATTAACAATTCCGAGACTATCCATTACACCACCGGCACATGCAAGCATACAGCACCTGCTATACCCAAACTGTCACTTATCCAGGCTCGACGTTGCTTAACTTCAGTGATCCTATGGAAACCGGTGTTTCAACGAAATGTGGCCGTTTTTAGTTTGAGTCCCATCTTCATATACAAAATTGTCTTTGACCTCACTTGATGTCCATCAGTCTTCGTTAAGCGACTTGGGGTCATCTATTAGCTTTACTCTATCCCGGGGATATTCGAGGGTTTATTTAGGGTTGACAAAAATGGCGCTGTGGTTAGCGTACAGTCGGCATTAAAACTCTTGAATGTCGACTGTACGCCAACCACAGCGCCATTTTCTCTTACAAATTGAGAGTTAGTCCTTTCTTCCTGCTTTCCGTTAATACCTTGTTTAAGAGTTTGTGGAGAAGAGATGGATTAATACCATTCCCCAAATTATTTGAGCGTAATTGAATATTATGAACACAAGAGGAATTGGAACTCGTCTCTCCGATTATCAATTCCGTGCCATTGTTCATTACACCACCCACACATCCAAACTTACAGTACCTGGTATTCCGAAATGGTCACCTATCTACATCGGACGTTGCTTAACTTAGGTGATTGTACGGAAACCCTTTTTTTCCAAAGTGATATGAGCGAGTTTCTTGTATATTTACGATTTTTACTCGAGTCAGGCTTTGTACGCTATAGGTATTCGCTAACCATCTTGGAGATATTTATTTTATTTGTCAGGTTTGATAAAAATGGCTGTGCAGTTGACATTTCTTATTTATATGTTGGTATGTCCTGATAACAACGGAACTAGTTGAAAAACTGTCTTCAAGAAA